ATGGAGCTGATTTAGTGTGGCAAATCTGCAGCAAGGTGACCCGATTGAGCAACGGTACAAGGAATACATGGAGAGGGGTTCCATGATCGATCAATTTGTTTATTGCATAAATAGTTACAGAGAGGCGGCAATGTCAAATGATCCTAAGTTTGATCACATTGATTTAGCAGAGAAGAAGAAGGTGTGCGCATATCTGCTTAATCTTGCTATTTGCCTTTTCTTTTCTTTTGTCATATGCTCTCCCCTCTGCTTCCTGAAAGTGTTTTTTGATGTTTATGTTTCCCTTGCACTTCCTAGGTTCTGAACGAGTGTGTCGAAACTGAGGCTTGGTTTAGAGAGAAAAAGCAGCAGCAGGATGCTCTTCCGAAATATGCCAACCCTGTTCTTCTGTCGGCTGATGTTAGGAAAAAAGCAGAGGCACTTGATAGGTACTGTTGACTACTGAATCTATTTTGCTATCAATTGAAAAATATAATTTTTTGGGCTAACCTACAGCAAAATCTTGTTTGGCTAGTTGCTATATCTGTTTTGGCTGCGTAGGGCCGGCCTTCTTTCCTTTTTCTTCCTTTTCCTTGCTTTGCGCTGCCGATTTGTCATTTTCAAGGTACTTTCTGTCACTACAGGGTTTGTAGGCCTATAATGACAAAGCCTAAGCCGGTAAAGCCAGCAACTCCTGAAACACCATCATCTCAACCTCCTCAAGGAGGTGAGCAACAACCTCCTCCAGGAGGTGAGCAACAACCTCAGGGTGCAGAAAGTCCGAATTCAGGAAATGCAAATACAGCTGAGGGTGCCAGTGCTGGAAGTGCAGTACCACCTGCTGCTGAGCCAATGGATACAGACAAATCTGAGACCGTGCCAAGTGCTTCATGAGTTAAGTTGAAAGTTTGATCTTCAGATATTTTATGAAGGCAAAGACTTGGTTCGAATTGTATTGTTTTGCATTTTAACCATATCTTTTTGAAGGATCTATACCGATCAACATTTTGTCATTAGATTGTTGCGATCAATTTCGTCCATCCATTTGCCCAGTCAAGTTATATTAATGATACCGACTCTGTAAAATCCTGCTTTTCAGAGGGTTTTAAAAAAATTCAATTGCTGTTGCTTTGTCCCACATATCTCTTAGCTAAATGAGATTTGCTGAGTCCTGTTTGGCTCCTTGTAGCAAGAATATATTAGCACTTTAACATTTGTAAAAATAAAAACAAAACCTTTACCCCATCATTTTCTGCAATATTGTCTCATTGGAAAAGGCTTGGAGGAACGTTGAGCTTATGCTTGCGTGTAGTGTGATAATCAACTTGTACTCGTTCATGAGATTGGGATCTTCCTTTTATCCTTCAGAGTATTGCCAAACCGAAAACATTAGGACTCATAATATGTAGGAATTTTGTTCATAGGAGGTATAGCAGGCATCATGATTTAGGAATGACATTTACCAAATATCCTGTTATCTCTTGGCAATGTCTGAAGGTCCTTCGAGAATGGTTGAGACATAACAACCTAGTCAAGCGACTATCGTTGCGCTTAAGTTTATCTTGGGCAATACTCCAAACAACAATTATCTGTTCGGATCTTGGTGTCTGCCGGTCTGTTAATTGATTTTGACTTTGGATCTCTGTATAAAAAATAGTAGTGTGCATAGGTGAACAGCAGTCAGTCTATCCTACCTAAATATACAGTGTCAATTGACCAATTGACACTGTATAAGCAAGGAAAAGA